TAAAGCTGGAATGCATGAAAGAGTTCCAAGATAGAATTTAAATTTAAACTGATTCTTTATAGATAAGCTTTTTAAAAATCCACCTCTTTGCTTCAAGTCAGGATTTTAAAAATAAATTTCCCCTTTAAATCTCTTGAGCGATTTTCATTTTTTGCAAGGCCGCACTGCTGGTGTCCTGGAAAAATGGAGAGTTAGAGCTTTATCAGTTGGTGCCCTGAGGTATGTGGCAAAGAAGCTAAATCCTTGAAGATTAGCAAAAAAAATGCAGCACATGGCAATAAGGGGCTTATATGACTACTAGTATTAGTTCAGGTGAAAGCAGTATTGCTTATACATAAAACTGGACAAATCCAGTGACAATGTATTTTTAGTTAGCTACAAAGGAGTCTTCTATTACTGGACTTTGCTCTTTTTGGTGGATTGGGAAGCTTAGTAATCCACTGTAAATGCTCTGTGCGCCCCAATTCTCAGCTCACTCTCAAGTGCAGTGCTTTTATTTTAACCCTTAGACGCTCATGTCGTCCCCAGATTTTGGCTTCGTGCCATTAGAAGATGGCACTAGGCGTAAGGTGTAAGTAATTGAGAGAATTGTCATTTCGTTTATGGATTTCTGGGAAAGGACACACGAGAAATTACTCTGTGAATGCAGGAGATGTCTTTGTTTTTATTTTTGGTAATCTTCTTGGGTAAAGTTAATGTAAACAAAAGTCTGATAAGAAGTTTTAACTTAGAAACTGTATTTCCTGTATCTGTATTAGCATCCACGTTTATCTTTTTCCGTACCTGCTTGAACATTATCTCTAAGTTAAATGTTAAGTTAGGCTTCTTCAAGAATGAAACTCAGGGTTCAAGTATTTGTAGGTAGGATTACTGTGTGTCCTGGTTTGCCCGGGACAGTGCCAGTTTACACACTTTTTGTGGTGTCAGTCGTAGCTCCCACCTTATCTCCCAAAGGTGTCTCTGGTTGATGTAGTCGCCTTAATTACGGGAAAAATTTGGAACTGAGGTAACAGGCTCGCAAGTTTACAAAATACCTTTTGTCCTCAGAGCACGGATATACCGTTTTTCATTGGATTTACAAAATATATGTTTTTGTTTGCTCATTTTTTTACATTTTGTGCCATTTAACTTTTTAAACCAGTAGGTCCTAAGTAAACCATGCCTTGATTCTTTTACTCTGACGAGTTACTTAAGACAGCATCAGAAACCCAGCCAGTTGAGTTGGGTGGAGCCAAGGCCAAAGTCAACCACAGTTTCCACGTAAACTAGTTAGCCTTCTGTAGAGAAAGAGTATTTTACCGCTAGCCCTAGCCATCTCACAGATATGTGTCGTTCATCTTACAGAGAATGGGAGTAGCTGGCTCCACGTAAGATGTCAGCATTACCAGCAAAAAGGACTCAGAATGTGAGGCAGGGAGTCAAGGAGCAGCACGAGAGAGCCGAGGCTGAATTTAGTGTCAGGAGGCCTACCTATACAGCATTTATTTACTGTCTTTTTAAACTCTGGGCAAACCACTTAATCCTTTTGGGCCCCAGTGCTTGGGGATGGTAATAGCTTCCACGCCCACCTTACAGCGCTTGATGAGCAAATGGGATCCCGAATACGGGATGCACTTGGTGCTGAGTTGTGATTCTTGTGTGTGTAGTGTGGTGACAGCAGTCCACCAAACTACAATGCAAAGCATAATAATAGTATGCTTGTGAATGATAGTAAAGATTTTTTCAAGGTAGAACAGCTTTATTTTTAAGTCAGCCTTAAGAAAAGGTTAAGTGCTTGATTAATAGTATTGTGGGCTGAAGGAAGGTGGAATATTACTCTTCACTTATGACCACGCAGCCCTGAAGTTCTTAAGAAATACAGCAACTTTATGCCATTGTCCATCCTCAGAAACAAAACAACTGAATCCAGTCCCAGTTCTGCTGTTTGTGTGACCTTAGAAGAGAAACAGGAAGAGGGAAAATGGTGGCTGCAGACTTGACCCAGTTTCCCTGTAAAACCGATGCGGTAATACCTACCCCACATGTTTGTTAAAAAGCCCCTATGGGGACATCTGAAAGATACCCATCCACAATGCCTGGCAAATACTAAGTGGTTTAAAATGTGCGTTTGGATGTATTTGTCTGTTCTTCCACAGAAACTACGGAAAGGTGAGGAAAATAGAGAAATCTGAATGGTTTACAAAATAGACCAAACTATTGGTTTTCAGGTTTGGTTAGATAAGAAACTCTTTGTTACAAAAGGAGTAGGGAAAGTGGATGCAAACCCTAGCTAGTTACCCAGGGGTCTTGCTCTGACCTACCCTGGTGACCCTTGGTCTCCTAAGGCCTTAAAGAAGACCACTGGACGGGACGCACTGGCCAAAGAACTGGGCAAATGGAGGAGACATTTGTTAAAAGTGAGACCGTTTGGAGGCTCGGGTTTGTATAGGGAAGTTGGCAAGTTCAAGTTTAGATGTGGTGAGATGAAATATCTAGTTGATGTTTAGTTGAAAATGTGTTCGGTAGCAGTGTTCTATTCTGGTCTTAAGCTCAAGTAGCGCTAGTCTAGAGAGGGAGGTTTTGAAGGCATGATGTCTGTGGAACCTATGATTGAAGCCATGGACATGGATGGGCTCAGTGAGGAAAGTGAGGACTGGCAAAGGGGCCACGGAAGGTCAGGCCATCGTAGAGGAGGAGGAAGAGGTGTGGTGAGACCCACAGTGGAAAACGTACCAGGACATCAGGAAATGATTGGTGTCAGGGAGTGTGGTGTAAGCGGCCTGGCTGGGACGGACAGAGAGCAGATTGGAGTGGGTTGAGGAATGAGTCCGTGAAGACAGATACAGTAAGGTGAGGCTGAAAAAAAGGAGAGCTTGTCAGTGAGATGCTGAAGGGCAGGCAGGACATTTAAGCACAAGTTGAGCACATTTTTTTAAATTTTTTTTAATGTTTATTTTTTTTTAATGTTTTATTTATTTCTGAGAGAGAGAGGGACACACAGAATCCGAAGCAGGCTCCAGGCTCTGAGCTGGTCTCAAACCCACGAACCGTGAGATCATGACCTGAGCCGAAGTTGGACATTTAACTGACCAAGCCCCCCGGGGGTCCCAAGTTGAGCACATTTAAAACCTAGAAGGAAATAAAGGAACTGCAGAGTTGAGGATGCCTGGGTAAGGAGGATGTTTCCTTCAAAGACTGGAGGACATGGCCAAGTACAGTTGTAGAGAAGTTTGTAGGTCAGGGGTTCAAGAAGCTCTCCTGCCTGGCCAGTCTCAGTGGTTTTTCCTATGGAGTTTGAGGGGCAGAAGAGGAAAGGAAATCACCAGAGAGGTCTTGGCTTGGAAGAGGTAAGAGTATGACATCATTGCTTCAGATAAATTCTTTAAATGTATCTTAAGCACTCAGTCCCTGTGACAGACACTATGAAGCAGCAATAAACGCAACAGGTGCGGTCTCTGCCATTACCTAACATAGCTGCTAATCCAAATAAACAGGTAGCGTTGAAGGCACAGATGGACTTGGAGTTTCTGACAGTAGATGTTTACATCATCTTTAAAATTTTCTTTGAAGTTACTCGGTGCCCTTGAAGATGATTTTAGATTGATCCTGGGTGAACAGTGAAATAACCAAGGGACAGAGAGTTCAGTGTGCTTGTACTTGTTAACTCAGTAAGTATCTGAGTGCCTCCTACGTGCCAGGCACTGTTCAAGAGAGTGGTCGAGAGGTGCCTGGGCGGCTCAGTTGGTTAAGCATCTGACTCTTGATTTCGGTTCAGGTCATGATCTCACAGTTTGTGAGATGGAGCCCCACGTCGGGCTCTGCATTGACAGCACAGAGCCTGCTTGGGATTCTCTCCCCTCTCTCTCACTCTCTCTCTCTCTCTCTCTCAAAATAAATAAATATTTAAAAAGAGAGAGAGAATGGTTGAAATCACAGATCTTGATGTGATATTGGATTTAAAAAAAATCAAAGGGGATAGGTAAAAACACATGAAAACATAGTAACTTTGATCAACGTGCAGTAGCGTAATTCGATAGGTCATATATTGAGCATTATGTCATATATTCATTCCCCTTCAAAACTACCACACTGTCCTAGTATTTAATTCTTGGGTTTGAAATGTCTTAAGTCAGTGGTTTGCAGCTAGCTGTCCCAGGGACCAGCAGCGGAGTGGTGGCAGATTGCAGTTCCCCACGACCAGGGAGGTTTAACATCAGGCAGTGCCCACACACTTCCGTTCCCCAAACAACCGTCCCACCAAAAATGCCAGCAAAACACCTATTGACAAACTCAGACGTAGATAGTAACTTGAACTACAGAGCGTCTGTTCCATTTACTCATTCAAAATACCGAACCATGGTCTCCTCAGACCAACCATCATGAGGAACCCCTGTATCATCAGACTTGATTCCCTTTCTATTTGCTCCAATATTTGTGAAGATATTAAACTTATCCATCAGTCATTGCCTTCACTACAAATCCTAGTATATGGTTCTTATACAGAATTTTGGGTCTGTTTGCCACCAGCCAGAAAAACGGAGCAATTGCACTTGGTGTTTCCATTTTCTTATATGGTAATGCAGACTTAAGATGGGTTTTTTGTTTTTGAAGTTCCATAAATAGATGCATTTTATCTTATAGTGGAGATATCATTGCATTTTTTTTCTATTTCCATTTAGTCTGGCAATTACATAAGTGTCCACCAAATGATCTCGATGACAGTTTTTCTCTAAAACCTCTAACAGTAAACTGCAAGAAATTAAGCACGACGAGGAAGATAGAGAAATAACTCCCGCGCTTCATAAAGTGATTCAAGTTTGTGGAATTTCTCACAACGCCAGATAGCCTTTGGTTGTTGAGAACCAAAAACAAAATCGCCCAGAGTGTCCTTGCATCTAGCATTTTAGCCACGTTTGAGGCTTAACCTGGCCTGTGAGGTTTGTGAAGGTGAGGCAGTAGGAGAAGAGGTGGGCAGCATTTCACTGAAAATGCATTTAACGCTCATGTAATAACTCCAACAGATAAAAGTGGAATCCGTGCCGGCTGCCCCCAGTCCCGTCATCCCCCGGCTGACGCTGCGAGTTGGAGCTGGCCAAGACAAGATGTAAGTACAAACGCTGTCCATTAGAGTGAACTAAGTTGAACTTACCCTTCTCCGCGCGCTCGTGATGGGCTTAGAGCTCTAACCTTTTCCAGGTATGAACGTGGAGGGTCAAGCTGTATTTTGAGAAGTCTTCACTTTTCAAGTTGCGTTGGTGTCTTCCTCAGAGTAACTGTGTATTGCTTTACTTGACATACAGGATCCCCTCTTTCTTGTTCTTTTCCTCTTTTTGGAAGACATGACATCATGTCTGCGTAATTCTTAAGGTCCTGGCTCTCTGAGAAGGAAGAAACCATATATAGGGCAGACTAACTGGTGGCTGTCATGTTCCACCTGCTCAAATCATTCTCTAATCACCGGGACAAAGAGCGGATATTCTCACGGTTTTATTCTCTACCTAAAAACAAAGATACTGCCACCCAAAGGCTTGGTGAAGTCTTAATTATGTGCTTTCTTGTTTGTTTGTTTAAGAGAGAGCTGGAAATGTAAACCCCATGATCACTATTGGTCTTCATTCTCACAGAATCATTCTATCAGCTCACCCTTCTTTGAAGTAAATTAGTTGGCTGTGGTTTTTTTTTTCCACTCATTTTTAGGATATGAATTAAAGCCTCCAACACTCTTACGTGATTTTAATAAGGTGGTAAAACATTGATTTATTTTTGTATATTATGTTAAAAGCCATTCTTATTCTAAAAATCATACTGTATATCATTTAAATGAATTCTAGGAGCTATAAGTACTAGTTTACAACCTTATTTTTTACCATAAGCCTGAAAATGGATTCGTTTAAATTGCAATGAAATATTGTGTAGAAAATAGGCTTACAGGGCCTTTGTCCTCCAGATGTTAGCCGTGATAATGAGGGTAGAAGCCATGACCTTCTGTGGTAGGTAGAGTAGGCGACACAACATATGCTCTGTGTTCTCTGTGGTTCATTCCTTCTTAAGAGTGTGTGTGCGTTTCATGCTGCTGCTTCTGCCGATTCCAGACGAATCCACTGCAAAAGTCCAAGGTCATTACTAGGAATGGTGGCGTAGAGGCAGATGTGGTCCTCTAGGAAAGTGTGTGTTCTTTTCAAGATTGAAAGAAGAAAATAGTTCCTCCTTTTCCTACGTGAATTATCCGCAGAATTCCCACATTGCCCTTTTTGGCTTTATCAGTAGAAGCCTAAACAGTGGGTGGTAGTGTCACTGACAGGTTTAGACAGTATAACAAAAATACTGTGGATCCGGCTCTTTTTTTAACCAGATACTCTTACACTCCGTGCTCTCTCTTTTACCTATAAAAATTTGAATAATGTCCTCCTCTCTCAACCAGTAGAGGACAGAAGGCTGATTGATTAGCAAGGAGGCCCAACCAAAGTAGCTATTGATACCATCTTTTTGAAAATTCTGTGTTGGGCTCTTTCCTCTACAGGCAAGATATTCTTATTTTTCATTCAACAAATGCTTTTACTAGTTCACATTTATTACTATTTTCTCAGTAACTCACCATGACCTAATCTTTACTTCCATGAGTTTGGCTTGCTCAGTCCCTTTAAGGTTTGTAAAAAGACTTTGGTAATAATATTCATCTCATCCACCCTTAGGCATCTTTCATTCATTCTGTTGACTATTTTTCTCCTCTCAGTAAACCAGTCATACACTTAAGATTTGGGGAAATATGAAAAATAGATCCTGTTACCCTGGACCAGATCGTCCAGTATTAGGGAAATTGTAATACTCGGACATTCTAGGCAAATTGCTCATGAAAGTATAACATTATATAATATGTGTACCTTCAGATATTTAGGTAAATAACACCCATGTCATATGAATGATTAATCATTTGACCAGAGTCAGGCACAAGGAGATGCTTATAATGAACAAAGGAATAAATGAATTGAAATAGATTACCTTTTAAAATAAGAGAGAAAAAGAGGCCCACGTCACCTAGTAATAGGATTTTATGTAAAATATATCTTAATCAATAGTGGTTGTTTTTTTTTTTAATTCAAATCAAGGATCCCGCACGCTGTGGTCCATGCGCCAAACCAGTGTTTGTTTGGCTCTGAAGCCAAGAATGGTTGACAAAAGTTAAAAGAAGAATCTTTTATGACACATGAAAATTATGTGAAATTAAAAGTGATCTTTTATTGTTGTAGCATAAGGGTATATGGCTCATTCCATGGCAGTAATAATGGAGAAGAGGAAGGAGATGGGTACAGATGTGCCTTTACTTAGTCTGTACGCACGCGGGGCTCTGGTGTGCTTTTGAAGTGAAATTAACGAGCAGAGGAGGCTGCAGAAAGGGGGGCTTAAGTAGTCCGGGGGAAGGGGCTGTTTATTGCTGAGGACCAGGCAGAGGATAGAATCTTTTGAAATTGTGGGAAAAGGGAAAAGCTTTACAGGGCTCAAATTATACCCTCTCAGTGGAAGATTTTTAAGACAATATTTAGTTTCTAAATTTTCCTATGTAAGGAAGATCTTGTGCCCTTGATCCGGGAAAGTACTTTGAGGTTAGATTATTTCCTCTCTTTTCTGCTGTTGCTCCTCTTAGCAAGATGGGTACCTTGTTTTTGCCTTCCTTTAACGTGCCTGGAGCCTGTATTTACGGGAAGTCCAGTACCTCCGCCAGAGAGTGTTAACATTCAAGGACTGCACTTTCCTTTAACACGCCTCCCAGTAAGGGGCACCCAGAGCTGCCCTTCGTCAGGAACAAAGATGGAAGTAGAAGTCTACCCCCGAAATCCCAGTCTGTGCACCGGTGCAGTTAGTGAGTAGTGCGGCCGGGAAGAAGCAGCATGAAGGTAGCCCGGCCCCACCTCACGGTCAAGTGAGTGTCAGCTTCCTAGGAACAGCTGCCTGGGGCTGTGTCGATGAGGACCGTGAGGCCACACTGGTACTTGGGGACGGAGACGGGACAGGCCAGGGGCAGCACGGTTGCCGCGCTGTTTGCCTTCCCAGTCTTCGCACTCACCGAGTCCGTTTATTCTGAGCAAGCGAGGAAGAATAGCTGACTTACGGTGTTCAGTCATTTGTTCATTTCCTACGAAGGAGACAGAGCAGAGCACCGCACTGGCGTATCTGGGGGTGGGTCCGGAAAGCCAGGGCCCAGCGGGACCTGCAGCTCTTCAAAGTGTAAATGCGGGGCTGGCTCTCTTGTTAAAGCTCAAGATTCCGGGAAAGGAGCTTCTCATTAAAATGATAATTTTAAGGGCGCCTGGGTGGCTCAGTCAGGTAAGCGTCCAACTTCAGCTCAGATCGTCATCTCACAGTTCATGAGTTCGAGCCCCGTGTCAGGCTCTGTGCTGACAGCTCAGAGCCTGGAGGCTGCTTCGGATTCTGTGTGTCTCTCTCTCTCTTTTCCCCTTCCCTGCTCGTGCCCTGTTTCTCTCTGTCCAAAATAAACACTAAAAACTGATTTTACTAAAACATTTTTATTAAAAAAAAATTTTTAATGTTTATTTTTGAGAGAGAGAGAGAGAGAGAGAGAGAGATGCTAGTGGGGGAGGGGCAGAGAGAGACAGAGACAAGAATCCAAAGCAGACTCCAGGCTCTGAGCTATCAGCACAGAGCCTGACAGCGGGGCTTAAACTCAAGAAGTGGTAAGGTCATGACCTGAGCTAAAGTCAGATGCTCAACTGACTGAGCCACCCAGGCACCCGTACTAAATTATTTTTAAAGAAAATAAGCATTTTGGGGCACCTGGGTAGCTCAGTCAGCTAAGTATCTGACTCTTGGTTTCAGTTCAGGTCATGATCTTACGGTCTGTGGGTTCAAGCCCCGTGTTGGGCTCTGTGCTGATAGTGTGGAACCTACTTGGGATTCTGCCTCTTTCTCTCTCTCTCTGCTCCTCCCCTGCTTGTGCTTTCTCTCTCTCTCTCAAAGTAAATAAATGAACTTCTAAAAAAACTCCTTTAAAAAAAAGAAAATAAGCATTTAATACTTTAAAATGTAGCCAGATTTAGCTGAAAGACATTTAACAGGATGAAGCACGTGTAGTGGTTTGAGTGATGAGTTCTTTAGACAAATAATAGCAGATGGTTTTTATCCTATTTTCTGCATTTTCCCTCTTTATGTGAAACATTGTTTATTTATATGTAACTTTTTTTCCAGTCTAAACAAACTTACAGTGCCTTAAAGAGAGAACATTAACTCAAAGAGAGAACAATAAAATTACTAGACAGTAGAAATAGGAAACTAATCCCAAGGAGAGGAAAAAGAAGCAGATGATTGTGTGTCAGATATGAGTATGGCTTCCTAGCAATCAGGGCAAAAAGTCAAATAACCGTTTTAAAAAGGAAGGTACCTCTTAGTTTCTCAAGAGAGAGGAAGTTCTTCAAGGCAGCAAATTTAAAACTTTATTTCCATGTGGATCCAGAGGAGAAAACTGTCTTCACCCCCACTTTGACAGCTGGCCGCGAAGACAGTTTCTGTTGGACTATTTCTTGCAGCAGAGCTGTAGCCTAGTAGCACAACTCCATGAAGAAGACTCTGGAAAGAATTCTTCTGGTCTCTAGTCGAAACGCTTGTATTTTTGTTTTGTGTTTATCAAGACTCCTAGTTCCAAATAACAGAAACCCAAACGAGCCTAAAGGGACAGAGGAAAAGGGGGGTATTTGACGTTAGGTGAGGCGGGCTTCAGGTTCAAAAAGTATCATTAGGACTCTGCTCACTTTCTTGTACCCCGTCTCGCCACTGGATGGTGACAGACAGGGCGCAGGTCCCCCGAGGCTGGCCTGGTGCTCAGGGTCAGCACCCCTGGTGAATCCCTTCCCCTCTCCTGCTCCCGCTACCAGGTCTCACCAGGGCCTGGCCGGGGGCTGCCTGGAGACAGCCTGTCAGAAGGGACAGCGGTAATCCCGGAGGGCAGGGAGGGCGAGGGGCAGGCAGAAATCACGGGTACGTTTTATGGAGGACACGGCAGGGGTCGTTCGTGTTTTTATGAAAGCATGCTGAGGTGGCAGGCTTACAAACAAACAAAAAACGATCCTTTAGAAGTCAAGTTCAAGTTCAGGAACATTTCAGAGCCTCATCCTGTCAGATGTGGAGGACCTTTTGCTTTTCTACTTTTAATTTATTTTCTTTCCAATAAAACTGTCTGCTTTTAATTAAAAAAAAAAAAAAAGAAGAAGAAGAAGGAAAGAAAGAAAAAGATCGGAACATGTTGAAAGTTTTTTCTTGCCCTGGTTAGCCTGCCAGTGAAACTGAAACACTTCCTAGGTATTTCGCCCTTATTAGAAGCCAGGTAACAGGAGCAAAGACCCCCCCAAAAATCTTCAGAATAACTATATTTTCAAATTTATGGCAAACGACTGATTTTTAACGCTAGCGGAAAGTGCGGACATTACAGACGAAGGTCTCTAGGAGCGGAACAAGCAGTGCACACGCTGCGGGTCTTGCTACCTTCTTGCGCGTGGAAACTCAACGGACCCGAACCCCGGTGTCTGAGCCGTCATTCCGAGGGGACACAGGCCACAGTTAAATTTTTCCTGTTCAGGTCTTCGGCCCTTTTCCGACTTTTCCAGACAAGGAGCCCTTGACCCCCGTCTCTTTCTCCCTCATGGTTGCTGACCTAAAATTACGATGAACTCTCCGAGTTTAATTTCCTCCCCGGCACGTCGTCGTTGACACCAAGCATGCAGTACGTGTAAGGAGAAGTACAGCGTGCTGTCCGAAAGCCCGTCCTCGGGTTTGGGGAAGTGCTTTTACTACACAGTAAAACAAGTGGAAAGATTATAATCACGGCATTTCCATCTCACTTGTAAACAATTACAGCCATTCGTACACGGATGCCACATTAGAGGACTTGGGGAAATTTACTGGATTCCATTCTAATGCAATTAGAGCTAATTTTGTTCTTTAAATGAATAAAAGGTCAGCTAGTAAATCTAGCTTATCTTGAGTCCAGGCTTCAATAAATTGTTTTATTTAATTTGTTGTAAAAGATCTTATCCTTAATGGGCCTAGGTCTTATTAGTTCACTTAGGTTTTAAAATATTTATGACCACCTTTTGAGATATGATTTGAATGATAGTTGGAAAGTTTCTCTCTGCAATGTTATCAAGGCCCAAGATCACTAATTGAGTGAATATAGGAAGGTACTTAAGATTTGTTATCTAGAAAAAGCTGATGTGAACTTCCAGAATTTCAGTGTTCTTTAACCTGTGACAGGCAGAGATAATTTAGCTATATCATGGTAACCTTTTGGATACAATCTGGCTATAATTTTCCCTACAGATCAAACTACTCACACTTCTGGTGTTTAAAGAGTCCGCACCTGCTGATGGAGGCACCTAGGCACTCACTGCTACTGACAGCGACACAGAAAATTTAAATTGGTCGCATTCCACTCTTCCCTGTCGCTTTATGGGGCCTACTATGAAAGTAGTGGCATAAAGACTCTGGAGGCCTCGTGTAATGTTTCTTCCTCTCCGTCCGCCCTCCGCCGCTGACGCTTAGGAGATGGATCATCGCGTCGCGGCCGGACGTCCGTGATTTAGAATGTTGCAGCTGGAAAACGCTGCAGTTGCCAGAGTCCTAACACGCGGGTGGAAGGGTGGGGCCCCGGGTGCGGCCGAGGCCGGTCACCCCGTCTGCCCCGCCCCTCCCCCCGCATCTCCCCCTCCCCCCTCCTCCTGTGTCGCCTCACCCCGCGTGTTGGGGCGCCCCTCGAGCGTACTCCCCCCGGTTCTTTGTCCGGAGCTGCCCCCAGGCCCCGCCGCCGCCCTGTGAGGACGCTCTGCTTGCCGGGCGCTTCCCGAAGCCTTCCCTTGTGTCGCTGCGACCCCGCGTGCCTGACGCCCTCGTTCTCTGTGGTTCCTTCTGGTTTTCCTTTTCTTACGCCCCCCCCCCGCCCACCTTCCTTGGTCCTTCCCCCCAGACGGCCCCAGTCACTCCTTAGGCCCCGAGTCCCCCGAGGCCGACTCCGGGGGGCCTCCGATTCCTGGGGCAGCTGGAGGGAGGCGAGCCGGCGGAGACGGGGCGTTTCGTTTGTCGTAATGGCAGCCGGGCGGCTCGACGCTAAGTCGCAGCGTCTCGCAGCCCGAGCCGGTCGTTCGGAACGAGCCTTGGGGCAGGAGGGACCGTCCTCGGGAGCCTCCGCCGGCTTCCCTCGAGCGCTCACGGGCCGACGGAGCACGACGTCCGTCCTCACACCGGCGCAGCCGCCTGCAGCCCCGAAGCAGGCCACGAGGGGGACGGAGGTTTGCCCCCAGAAGGAACAACCGGTTGTGCTTGAAGCGCGCCCTCGTCCCGCCCCCCCCCCCGACCTCCCAGCTCCGCCCCCGCCTGCTCAGAGCCCCCCAGAGCCCCCCAGAGCGTGTGAGGCCCCCGACCGCCTGCAGCACTGCCGCCCCTCTCCTCCCGCCCGCTCGGGCTGCGGTCTCAAGGTTGTGAGGGCGGCCCCCGGCGGGCCCCACGGCGGCGCGGAGCTGGCTTCAGTCTCTCGCTGCGGCGGGCCCCGCCCCTCCCGCGCGCGCTCGCGCTCGCTCTCAGAAACCGGACGGCCGTTTGTTATCGGGAGACCGGCCACAGCCCCTCCCCGTGCTTCTGCCGGCTGCCGCCCTCCTCCCAGTGCGCAGCGTACTCTCCCTCCGTGCGGTGCACCCGTGTGCGCTACCGGCCTGTGTGTGTGGCCGTCTTCTCCCCTAGGCCGCGAGTTGCTTGGAAATTGCTGTGTGTGCCCCATTCACCTCTTTTTTGAGAGAGACAGAGAGAGAGGGAAGAGAGCGAGCCGGGGAGAGGGGCAGAGAGAGAGAAAGGAGACTCTTACGCAGGCTCCCCGCTCAGCGCAGAGCCCGATGCAGGGCTCAGTCCCCTGCCCCTGGGATCGTGACCTGAACCGGAATCCGGAGTCGGGGCGCTCCAGCCACTAGCCCCCCAGGTGCCCTCTCGCCCCGTTCACCCCGTCTCCACTGCCGACGAGTAGGACGCAGAGTTGGCCGAAAATGAACATTTGCTGAGATACATTCAAGGGTTCAGACAGGCTCTTAGCTTTCCAGCCGTGGAGCTGCTTTGTACTCTGAGCAGGCGTTCACAGACCTGGGGTAGAATCCAGATACGATTTAGTGGAGTTGCTTTAACAGAATCGCTCTCACAGGAGGAGCAACTGCGTTTTTCTTAAATAAAAAAACAAACGAACAAACCTAAGAGGGGCTCAAGGAGCTACAGGAAGCTTCGCCCTTTATTTTACTTCACTTTCTCCTTTGAGTGTAGCTGAGGAAGCTCACTCTCGGTCCCCCAGTAAGGTAAACCACAGCTGCATTTGGGATGGAAGTCCTTTGTCAAAGATTGCCCTTCCTTCCTAACCATTGCTCTTGGTATTTTACATAATGTTACAGGGAATTTGAGTGATAAGAAGATGCTGAAAATAAGTTGCTTAAATGAATTGGGAGGTCTTACAGGTAGAGCGACTAGAATTTCCAAATTTGTTTGTAAAGAATATAAAGTCAGTCACTCTGTATAGTCTGTGTTAAAGGGAAATGTGGATCTTGCTAAGACCTGCATTATCTTCATAATAACAGATGCACTACTCTATATATCCTCTGAATAAAGGAAAAAGGACACCCACCAACTTGAAAATGAAATTATTAGAGTTCTTTTTCTTCCGGGGTATGCTGGTTATCCATCTTTGGCTCTCTCTGCCACACATAGTTAGCAATTTTAACAAACAAGGAGTAAATAAGGATATCTGGGAAACAAAACATGTGAAACCCCTGATCAGGGTAGAATAGGTCTTTAAGACATGTTACTTACATGGTTTTTTCCTTTTAATAAGCAGGCTGGACATTTGGCTTAGAGAAAAATACTTTCCACAGAGGTGTTACGTATGGTCTTTTGCATCCTGTGGATAAAACCAAGTATAAAAAGCAAAAAGAACTTTTCAAAATATTTTGAACAAGTACTAGTCACTATAGAAGTCCTTGACTTTGTTTCTTAATTCTTTTTTTCTGCTTATGAAAATAATACATGGTTAGAGTTTTTGAGTTTTTGTTTTTTGAGATAAACTGTCTAGAAACGTGTAGCTTAGGGAGTGGATGCTCCCCTAAACCCATCCTTCCCGTAATACTCATCACTGGCTGTTTGGTGGATACTTCAGCAATTTTTTCAAAACTAAATATGGGGCACCTGGCTGGCTCAGCCGGTTAAGCATCCGACTCTCGATTTCTGCTCAGGTCCTGATCTCATGGTCATGAGATCGAGGCCCCTGTCTGGGTCTGTGCTGACACTGCAGAGCCTGCTTGGCATTCTTTCTCTCACCCTCTCTCTCTCTGCTCCTCCCCCATTCATGCTTTCTCTCTCCTGCTCTCTCTCAAAATAAATAAACTTTAAAATATGAAAAAACAAATTAGGATGATCTTACACATACAGTTTTACAAGTTGGCCCTCCCTCTTTTTCAGTCATTTCAGTTATTCCAGATTTTGCTGTAACAAATAAACAGTATTCTCATATATATATATATATATATATAATATTATATCTTCGTGTATTCACATATTGCTTAGTCAAAAAATATAAACGCAAGATTTTTAAGAGATTATAATGCCAAATTATCAGCCAAAAGCCCATGCCAATTGAATTTCCCACCACCAGAATGAAGAACGAAATGACTGTGGCAGAGCAGTTGGTCACATCTGATGGTTCTAAAGTTCTGAGAAACTCTGGGGCAGGTAACATATTATTTTGTATGTGTATCAGATGGACTTTTCTTCATTTAGGTTGTTGAGTAGGTAGGAGGTGCGTGAACTTTTTTTTTTTTAATTCTTTATCTTTCCTTCTGTTAGAATGATCTGAATTTTGTGTGACTCTAAAGTCAGTTGAATAATTACAGAAGTCCTTTTCTGCCTCAGAGAAAATTATATTAACATCATTTTATTATATTTTACTTTATTTACTTTTTGCTTCAAACTCCCTTGGACTTTTTTTTAATGAATCTTCTTTTTCATAAAAATCCTTTAAACATTAAAGCAACCAAAATGATTGTTCATTAAATATTTTTTAAATTTATTTCTTTATTTTGAGAGAGGGGAAGGGACAGAGAGAGAGAGGGAGAGAGAGAATCCCAAGCGGACTCAGTGCTGTCAGCATGGAGCCCGAGGCTGGGCTCAAACTCATGAACTTGAGATCATGCCTTGAGTGGAAATCAAGAGCTAGACACTTAACTGACCAAGCCACCCAGGTGCCCTGCTCATTAAATATTTTATCAATATGCATTGTAACTAATCTATTTCTTTGGCATATGGGAAAACTGTCTTTTTATTTCATCTCGTATTTTACAGTTTAACAATTGGACATGTTCTTTGCCAAACAATTGTTAAAATCCTCTACACTCTCATTTTGGAAGATCATCTTTATTATCAAAGATATAAAATCAGACAGTCTAAGAGGAGAATAATACTGCAACTGTCCAGAATAGGAGATATATTTGTTATACTGTATATCCACAAGTAAACATGACGTATGTGCATAAGTAACTGTAGGATACATATCAGAATATATAAATGAAAATACATGGCATGTAACTTTCAGAAGTTCTGTTAGCCCCCAATATATGTGTATATCTATATTTCACTTACTTTAGCCCATAAAGGTGAAAATACATACATGTATGTGTATCTATAAGTATTTTCCAGGCTGTCTACAGAGGAAGATAAGAATTTATGGGAAGCATGGTGGTTTTTGGTGAAGACGTAGCAGCTATTATCAAATTTTAATATCTTCTAAAGTAGTGGTGGTGGATTTTTCTGAGCACGACGGCAGTAATAACTGAATTTTATAACACTCCAGTGAGATACAAATCTTAATCACAATCTTGTTCATTTTTCAAGTTCACTGAATACCATCTTATTGCTTTTAATGTTTTCAAATAACTTAGATGTCCTTTAATCCTAAAATGAAAGAATGAATGAATTTTTTATCTTTTATAGTTAAATTGCAACTTGAGCATGTTTTCCCCTAAAAGCATCTTTTTCTGAGTAACTAAGCACCCTCCTCTGTAGACCTTAGGCTCATAGAAAAATGTTAAAAGTAAAGTCTCCCTGTGTTGGATAGCATTTGGCTTTGCTGTTCCTTACGAAAGGCCCCCTCTTATTTGCTGGAGAGAAGCAGAAGCCTTGCTGAAATCAGAAGATTTTTTAGATTTTCTGAATCCAGAAAATTTATTTTTTGAAAAGAAAACCCTGACAGTGCCCTAGAGAACACCTTCATGGGTTTGCATTTTTAAAAATTTGATCTGCATTCAGCAAATATTAATTTTTATTATATACATAGTACAAGTGTGTCAAAGGCGCTGACACCTGGGCACACAGCGAGTTGGAAGCAGATGTCGGTTCTCGTCTCAGGTACATAGATAGAAATAATCATAATGGAAGTTCGAAAGTGCTACAGGCTCTGAGAGGCACATCTAACATTATATAGAAGTTCAAGGTGATTGCTTCCAGCCAGGAAGAGTTAGA